CCTCCCGCTGTCGGTGCCACTCTGAGCACACGCTTTGGCTGCACGAGGCTGAAGCGCTAGGCACTGTGGTTCGCCTTTTCCCAAAGGAAAAACAGACCAACCCCCCCCAAAAAACGACATACACACACAAAAAAATTAAATCATAATTTCTCCCCAAACCTCTCCGCTCCTGTCTGTAGGGATGTTGGGTCCTACCCAGAGAGCTGGAGAAAGCCAGGGGAAGGATGAAACCAAAGGGCTGCCCATCTCCAATCCCCCAGCCCAGTGCTGCAGGAGGACTTGGCTGCTTTCACCTCCCACCTCTAGCTCAGCTGTCCAGCCAAAAAGCATGAGATGGAGAAGATGCTGCACATTGGAGTGGTGAAAAAAAAAAGACACAACCAAACCCAAAACATTAAAAAAAAAAATTAAAATTCAAAGTCCACAGACTTTTGCATAAAGCAATAGTGGTTAATTGCCATTTTTAACTGCTGTCTCACAGCCCAGGACAGGCTATCAAGAAGGGATCTCACATATCAAACCACTGGGAGTTGGCTGATGAAGTCTAGGTCAGGACCTCGCCCCATTTCTCCCCTCCCCTCCTCACACACCCCCCCACCCCACACCCCCCCCACATACACACCTTGAATGCTGTAACTACTACTTTTTTGTAGTCCCAGCCTTCCAGCATGCAAAATAAAAAGAAGTTGCCAGTATTCAGGCTTCCCCTGTTAAGGGGCATGACTTGAAAAAAATAAAATAGTTATGCTCCTGCCAGAAATAAAGTGCAAAAACCAAGCGGTTTCTATGTATACACATATACACACACGTGTGCGTGTATATATATTAAATAAAAACAACAAACAACAAACCAAAAACACAGACAAAACTGTCCCTTCTGGTGCGTTTTTGCAGCCACACAGGGCCTCCTGCACCCGGCCAGACCTCTGGCCACCTCCACCAGACCTGTGTGTCTGCAAAACGCATCTAGCTCAGCCTGTCCACCTGCGATGATGCAGGGATTCAAACACCCCCCAAAAATCTCCACTTCCCTCCAAGCCAGAGGAAAGGGGAGATGAAGTACCAGCATAGCATCTCAACTGGTGCTCAGTCTCCCCCAAAAAATAAAAATAAAGATAAAATAAAATAAAATTAAAAAAAAAAATCAACACACATGTGAACTCTGAGCATCTCCAGGTGCTCCCCGAGATGAAAGCATCACCCAGGCCACCACTGGTGTGGCTCCCCCTATACTACAGGCAGCTCACAGTTGGTTTTAGAAGTAGATCTATATTCTCTGCAAACCCCTTTAAGGTGTATTGATCAAAA